CTAGTTATATTTTTCTATATAGTTATATTTTTCTATATAGACAGGAGAAAATTGAGCATCAAGTTAAGAAAATAATTTAATTTATAACAGCATGAAAAAGAATAAAATACTTAGCAAAATTTTAACCAAAGAAGTATAAGACTTCTACACTGACAAACTACAAAACACTATTAAAAGAACTTGAAGATCTAAACAAATGGAAAAGCATTCCACATTCATACATTGGATGATTAATATTAATGAACCTAGCACTTCACAAATTGAGCTACAGACTGAATGCCTTCCCCATCAAAATATCAACTAACCTCTTCACAGAAACTAACTGTTTCTAAAATATGGAAATTTAATGAACCTAGAATTGTCAAAACAATCCTCAAGTTGAACAAAGTTGAAGAATTCACACTTTCTGATTTTAAAACTTGCTACAAAGCTACAGTAATTGAGACAGTATAGCATCAGCATAAGGCTAGACACATAGGTCATTGACGGCCCAGAAATAAACCCTCATGCTTCTGATCAATTGATTTTCTATCAGGAAGCCACGACAATTGAATTTAACATTTAACTTATAGTGTGGTGGTGAAATAACTGGACAGTCACAGGCAAAACCAAAAACAAGAAAGAAAAAAAAAAAGAAAAAAAAAGGATGCTTAACACACATCATAAACAAAAATTAATTCCAAATGGACTAGATACCTAAAATAAAAACTAAAACTAAAATTCATAGAAGAAAACATAGTTGTATATCTTTGCAACTGTGAATTAGACAATGAATTTTCAGATATAATACTCAAAGAACAAGCAACAAAAGAAAAAAGGCAAACTGGACCTCCAAATGAAAAACATTTGTGCTTGAAAGATATCAAGGAAGTGAAAACAACCCACAGAATGGGAGAAAAGTTTCACAAATCATATATCTAACAAGAGATTTGTATCTAGAATATATAAAGAAGTAATATAACTCAATAAAAAGGATTCGTAATCAAATTAAAAATAGGCAAGAGATCTAAGTAGACATTTCTCCAAAGAAGATAAACAAATGCCCAATAAGTACATGAAAAGATTCTCAACATCATTAGGTATCATGGAAATGTAAGTCAAAACCACAGCGAGATATCACTTTAACACTACTAAGATGGCTATAATTAAAAAAGACAGACAATAACTAGGATTGGCCAGGTTCTAAAGGAATTGGAACAGATCTCATTAAGTTGCTAAATTGTCCAGGCTGGGCTCAAACTTGTGATTCTCTCATCTCAGCCTCTCAGAGTGGGTGCAGCTACTTTTGAAAGCAGCTGGAAAGTTTCTCAAAAACCTATAGATGGAGCTGCTGCATGACTCAGCAATTCCATTGCTAGGTACATGGAAGAAAGACAAAAACATAAGTGCATACAAAAACATGTATGCGGCCAGGCATGATGGTACATGCCTGTAATCCCAGCACTTAGGAGGGTGAGGCAAGAGGATTGATGCAAGTTTGAGACCAGACTGGGCCACAAAATGAGCTCAAGGCCAGCCTGAATTGCATAGTGAGATTCTGTCTCAAAAAGACAACAACAACAACAAAAGTATATGAATGTTCATAGTGGCATTTTTCACACCATCCAAATGTCCTTCAGCTGATGAGTGAATAAAAATGGTGCATATCCAAATAACAGAATATGATCTGTCACTAATGAAGAACTGACATCTGCTGGCACAGGGATGAACACTGAAAAAAACATGCTAGTGAAGGAATTCAGATACAAAAGGTCAGAGGTTCTGTTTATAAATGGAATTGTGCATATGAGATGTCCACAATATAGAGATGGCGTGATGGGAGGATGATAGTTAAGTGGCTAGGGAGATGACGTTTTCTTTCTTTTCTTTTGAAAGGGAGACAAAAATGTTCTAAAATTGATCATAGTAGTGGACGTACCACTCTAGAGATACTGAATCTTATGTTTTACTAAAAGACAGTGAATTTTATGCTTTAAATTGGTTATTTGTATGGTATGTGGTATGTGAATTATATCCCAATAGACCTATTCTTACAAAAGCAAGATGCATACACATACATGTGACACATCATTTATATAAAAATACAAACATATGCAAACAACACTATTGTCTAGGAACACACGCAAATGCAGGAAGGCACAAAGACAGGCATGTGAATAATAAAACACACATTCAGGATGGCAGTTACAAGCACAGCAGGGAATGGTTAGTGTAGGAGGAGATACAAGAAAGAGGAATGTGTACTTCTTAAGCTTGATGGTGAAACCTAGGAACAATATTCCTGGTAGTAACCTGTATACCTTGTTTGTTTGCTTGAAGTTCTTTGTGAAAGCGTAATCCCAGCACGCTGGGGAGATGAGGAAGGAGTATTGTAAATTGGAACCCAGTCTTCACAATTGAACAAGTTAAAGGACCCTTTCTCAGAATAAAAATTTTAAAATAAGTAATAATAAATAAATAAAATAGGTAAGCAATGTAGTTCAGTGCAAAGGCCTTGGGTACAATTCCCAGTCCAAAAAAAATTTTTTTGCAACATTTTCACAGACATTTCACAGGTTTCAGAAGCTTTCTTACTGTGAGGTGGGAGATTGGCTGTGGGGGGCCCTGGACTGGGTGAGCACAGGACTGAACTGAGGCTCCCCACATTCCTTGAATTAAATCTAGCTATCTCCAGGTTCATCTCTGGATCATCTTTTTCCCTGGCTGTGGCAACAGCTTGAGCTATGCAGCAAGACTGCTGTGTTTTAAATGCCTAATCTACACCCATTAGCAGCATTGCCTCTCACAAATTACTTAACCTCCTGAGTATTTCCTTGTTCACTAAACAGGAATAATATCACCTGCCTCTCCAAATTGGTGATGACTGAATGCCCAAACCCTTGAAAGGTGCCTGCTGCTGCTGAGGGTCTTGCAGGAGTTCCACTTTGCCTCCCTGCTCCAGGGCCTCTCTGCCACAGCTTGCTAGATCAGGTTGTGCTGGATCCTAGTTCTTTGCATGGAGCATCATGGACCATCAATCAATACTCTTGGATTTGGAATTGAGTTTCAGTGTCTGAACTGTCCTCCCTTCCTTGCTAGTTTGAAAAGCAAAGGGAACAAAAGGCCTCTAAAGAAATCCCCTTTCACTACCCTTAAAAACAAAGAAACATATAAATAAATTCTGTGGTTCCCCATGGATGGTTTTTATATTCCCAGCTGTTCTCCATCAGCTGCTGGAGGCCCATAAGGCAGGGCTAGGCCCCAGGATCAGGGGATGGGACGACAGGAGGAGGGTGTGCATCTGTATGGAACCTTTCCCCATGCAGCATGTGTTCCCTCAGTCTTTGGAGATGAAGGCTGGATGCCTGGGCCCAGGCTTTTGGCACTGCCATTCAGGCACAGGGGAGCATTTCCTGCCAGTGGCAGCCCAGCACCTGGGGGAGAACCAGGCCTCAAAGCCAGGTGGGCAGATGGAACAGGGTCTGTGCTGAACCCGAGCGGAGTGGACAAAAACTCCAGCTGCACAGAGGGACTGCAGGAGAGCTGCATCATGGAGGTCAATCCAGGCACTGCACAGAATACAAGAAGCACTGCTTCTTGGACTTTGGGCTCAGGAGCTTCCTCCTCTGAACGTCAGTTACAGCACAGAGTTGTCAGCCCTCAGCCATTCCTTCAGTCCCTCTGGGACTTGGGTGGTTTATTTTGGGAAGCTGAAGTCTCACATTATCCAACATCTTGGCAGCTGATCTGTGAAGAGGAGCAGGAAGAGCCGTTGTGGCCAGTGGGCTGTGCCCTAGCCATGAGGAGACCCCAAATAGCACTGACATAGATCAGAACTCAGGCCTTGTTTATACCACTTCCCACTGACTTCAGTCATCCCACTGTTACATCTCATGGCCACAATTTAGCTGGAAAGTGATACATCACTTTAGTTTCACCATGGTCCACGGGGAATCCCTTGTGGTCACGTCTGTCCAGTGACTGACCTTTGTTAACTTGTGCTGGCCTAGATAAGGGCAGGGTGGAAGAGAGGGGTATTTTTGGGGACTAAGGAAAAAGTGATAGTTCATTCTCTCCCTCCCACTACCTGTTGGAAACCAGAGGCCATTCTTCTATCCACTCAAAAGAGGTTCTTGTAGAAACCACGGTCCAGGGCTACCCCTGAGCTTTCTGACTTCTCTGAGAAGATCTTGGGAGTCACAATGCGCTGCCCACAGTCACTTTTCTCCTTCTGCCCATCCTCTACTGGGCTGCCAAAGCTATCTAATACTTGAATGAGACTGCTACAGGCCTGCCTTGCAAATCCTGCTTGGCTTCCCTCCACGTACTGGAGGCCTAAAGACAGGTTTCTGCTTGACCTGCATTGAGGTTTTACCACCACACCCTGTTCCTGTAGAACAGCAGCTGGTGGGTGAGGGCTAGTGCAAGGAAGTGCTCCATAGGAAATAATCTCCAGCAGTCCCAGCTGTCTCACATCTAGCTCCTTTCCACATTGTATTACCAGCTTGGCACTTGCATGCATTCGAGTCCCCTCTTTTAGTTTCTAGGTAAATGCTTGTGGCACAGCAAGGAAGGAAGAAGGGAGGAAAAAAGGAAAGAAGAAAAGAAAGAAAGAGGGAAGGAAGGAGGGAAAGAATGATAGTAAGAAGGAAGATGAAAAGGAAGGAAGGGAGGAAGCTAGCTCTCTGCTCTGGTGAGGGAGCCAGAATGGCTTCCCAATGGTCTTTCCTTCCAGGATTTCTGTGCATGCTCTACAGAGCAGGATGGCAGACATCTCTATCAGGACACCCACCACTGCATTGCTGAGGCCCTGAGAGCTGGAAATCATTCAAGGGCTGTTCCCTAATTTTCACACTGTGTCTGGGAAGAGTGCTGTGAGCATGTGGGGGTGGAGGGTGGAGGGAGACAAAGGCATCAGAAGAGGGAAGTGGAAATGGGGCAGAGGCGTGCTGCTTAGCAACCACAGAAGAAAATTTAGAGAAGTGACAGGAACATTTCTCCCAGTGCCTCAAAGGGAGGATTTAAAAAAACACACAAAACCACCAACAACACGAAAATCTTTCGCACGCCTATGCTTGCTGATCTGTTGCTGTGGCTGAAGGAGCTCCGGGAAGAATTCACAGGGCTTTTCTGGAAGTGGGGCCTTTGGTGAAGAAGCTTGGTGAGCTATGTGGAATGTGCTGGAACTATGTCCTCCATGTCTTGAAGGGAACTATTCTTGAGGTCTTCTGTGTGGAGGGAGTAAAGAAGCCTTTCAGTAAAAAAGAGAGAGACAGTCTCCCCAGTGTCTTCTCTAGAGCACAGCTCTTGCGTCTAAGGCTACTGATATCTAGAAAGGAAGGCATCCAGGGACTTTCCCTTTCACCATCTTTTTCTAGGATCCCACTAAGAGCCCCAACCCTACTCCTTCCTCCCCAGTGAGAATCCTCTCTTTCTTTTTCTTTCCTAATTTGATTTTCTCTGGCTTACAACTGAGCTCAAAGGAGGAAATTCTTTTCAGTGTTTTAAAAATAATTCCCAGAGTCTCCCACTGGTGTCACACATACAACTACTGTAGTTACTTAAAAGAAATCATTCTCGCTCTTTCACCTACCCTTTTCCCATCCCTCCTGCAGGCTTGAGGAAAAGAGAAGGAAGAAGCTTCGAGAGCACGGCTGCAGGTTGGCCAGCATGGAACATGTTCTCACAGACAAAGTGGGAGACACACACACTCCTTTGCTGTCATACATAAGAGAATGGTGGATAGTACAGGAAACAACCTGCTTGCATTAAATCCCACTGAGTCACCCACTGGGAATGTTACTCTTTTTCTAATTTGTTTTCAATTGTTTTAATTTTATTGAGCCTCAAATTGGTGCTAGGTGTATCACAAACACCTCCCAGAACATGCTAACCTTTCTTTTAATGAGAGCAGCCATGGTACTCAGGTGTAGACAGGCAAAAGAAACCAGCTACACTGTAATAGAAGGGTTGCTCTTTGCTGGGTGAGATTTTTTGTGTACACAAAAGTGGTTTTTCATTGCATTTGGTTCTTTCTTAAGAGACAAGATAAACAATTAACAGAGACGTGGGAAAGAGCTCAGCTTGTCAGGCCCTCCTCAGGAAGCTGGGTTTTCATCCAACATGTTGCTGTAGGTCAGGCCCACAAGAAGACCCCACTGGAGATCAGTTAGTCCATTGAGCAGCTGGTAGTGGAAGAGCCTCGGGTGACAGTTTTTAATTTTTGCTGGAGACAGGTGGCCTGTTTTTTGCTGCTCATTTTTGCATGTTGTGCTCCCAGGGGTTATAAAAGTTGATTATTGATACATATTCAATTTGAATGGGATGAGACAGAGTAAAGGCAGTGGGACAGCACACCTTGTGAGGGGGCAGCCACATCTGATTTCCTGTGGAAAACTGTCAGTCACTCCTCTTCTCTCTGATTGAGTGGAGCGACCTGAACCCTAGCTTTAGAGCCTTTTCACTATATGGGCCTCTCTCCCTGTGAGCATTTTGTTGCATCCACCAGGAGGGATCAGCTCAGGGACAGAGTAAGATTCACATTGACTTTTTCTGGGAGTTCTATGGCTGGCTTTCCCCACATTGGCTTTGAACTCAAGAGGATAAGATGCTGGAGCTCCTACAACCATTACTGCCACCATGAGGACAGAGCCAACAAATAGGCAATGGGGCTGAGAAATCCAATCCTGATGGTATCATTTCCATCCCTGGATCCAGCTGTGCCTGAAGCTAGGCTCTACCCTTGGCCGCCTTTAGAGCTCCCCACCAAGCCAAGAAATTCCCCTTTCATGTAATCCAGTTAGGATCAGTGTTTCGGTCACTTGTAATTGCACAAGTCTTAACTGATGAAATGGCTCAGTGCAAATCCTTGGCCACTGAGAAAGAAAGAACTTGAGGCATGTTTTGCTGATGTGGGTGAGTGGCAACTGTCACCACACAAAAACATCAGCATAGGAAAAGCTACTATTGTTAACAGAGTGCTCTGAATCCTAGATGATTGTGTATCAGGCTCTGGCTCAGTGTCTGGCTTGATGGTTTATTTAATCCTTGCAACAATCTTAGCCTGTGGATATACACTCATTAGCATTTTATAGATAAGAAAGCAGAGCCTCAGGGAGCCTCTGTGAAACATAGTGATGGAGTCAAGGCTGGGTCCTTGATTCTGAGTAGTTCTAGTATTCTATGTTAAGAGCTAGACTGTTTCCCAGCAAACACAGTGCTTGGGAGGGAGGTGGCTGTCAGGTGGTATGAAGTGATGCTATGGCCCAGTGATGTGGCTGCTTCTGCCCCACTTAGCAATAGGGTACTCAGCTATGCAGTTGCCAGTGGACCCCACAGAAGATATTCTTTTTACCACTGCTAAAAGACAAGGCAGAAAAGGCCCTGGCTTGAGATGAGAACACACAAGTGCTAATCAGTCGTGTGATTTGGGATGAATCATTGCACCTTTCCAAGCCCTACTCTTTTTCTCATGTGCAGTGTAGAGATTCCAGCCCCAGCCTGAATGGGCAGGTGTGAAGAGACATAAACCAGCAACCTGCACTTCCCTCTCCCTCCAGGACTGGGAGGAGTCAGATTAGGTGGTGACCTGAAACGAACCTTTCTGTCCCCAAAGTGGAGAGATAAGAACTGTGAAGCAAGAGAAGCTCAGTGTTGCTATAGGCGCTTGGGAGTTTATTTTTACCCTGTTATCTCTATCCTGAAATGTCAGACTTGGAGCCACTGCCTCCTGGCTCACCCAGGGTGGCAACACAACCTGGAAACCAGCCCCCTCGCCTCCTGTGCTTCCTCTGTCTTTCCGTGAGAGACACTGTACTATGGTGACGGGTGGCATGGAAACACTGACAGAGAGAAGGGGCAGGCAAGACCTTTCATTTGGGATCTGGAAGAGGCTCACACCGTCCTGAAACCAGGGAGTATAGTGGAGACCGTTAGCATCTTCTGGCACATACTACAAGGTTTGGGCTCTTTATGTTGCAAGATGTGAGAATCTAGTGGAAACTGCCCTAGATAACAAAGAATATTTAATTAGCTGGGGTCACTAAAATGCCCAGGAATAGGGTCAGGCTTCAGGTGAGGTTGATCTTGGGGTTCTATGCTGTTACAAGATTTGGGATTCTCCATCTTGCATTCTGCCTTCTGGGGGTTGGCTTCATCTTCAGGAGCCAGGCTATGCTTCCTTACGCTGTAGAACATCTTCAGAATCTTCCCCCCACACACAGACAGTTGCAGTGGTTCTAACCGTCATATCCTTACAGGGAAGGCTCCAGGGAAAACAGGAATGTGTTTTTGCTCAGCCCTAGGCAATGACTTCTTGAGTTCTGTGGGGCCTTGGACTGAATTCTGTGCCCATCTTTGAGCTGCAGGGACAGCAGGTGAAAAATGCTTGGGGGTGGCTTGATCCAAACCATATTCCAAGAACAGGGGAGCAGTGGTTTCCCAAAGGAGATTTAGGGCTTTGCACCCAGAAGATGGGAATGGATGCTGAGCCACAGCACAAAACTGCTATGCGGTTTATTTGTGTTGCAGTTGCTCCTCCCCAGGAAAGACTCTGAATTAGGAGTGACTGTTCTTTCCTATCCAGAAATAGACCAACATTAATTTCTTCAGATAAGTTTTTCTGTGCGGGGCATGGAAGCACAAGCCTGTAATCTCAGCACTTGGGAGGCCAAGGCACCAGAACTGCCATGAGTTTGAGGCCAGCCTGGGCTCCATAATGAGTTTAAGGCCAGCCTGAACTACGTAGTGAGACTCTGTTTCAAAAAATTTTTTTTTCTGAGAATAGAGTATCTATCCTCTCAAAATTTCATCTCAAAAATTTCATCAGTGTCTAGATCTCCGAAGTAGATATATGAATTCAGGGAAACAACACATTTTTACGTACTGAAGTTTTTTTTTGCATTTGAAATAAAATTTATACTCTGGTCTACCACTTCTTCCCGCTGTCATGTCTACCTGTACCTTACTCTTTGTTTTTCATTGCTGTTGTGTCAGGGGTTTGAACTTGGGGCCTCACGCATGGCAGGCAAGTGCTTTATCACTGAACTGCATCACTGTGCCAGTGCCTTATCATTTTTATTCCTTATACACGTCAGTTCTCTTGGAGGCTCCCACTTGCTGTTTCTCTTCATCCAGCAGGCCTTTCTCTTAAACTTTTGCTCAGCTGACTCCACCTCCTACTGAGGATGCTATACAGTTTTTATGTTTTCCAGGAGGTCTTGGATCAGCCCAGCTGGAAACCATCTGTAGTTGCTGATGGCTTTAGAATGTCTCTCCCTTCCCTAGACTGCCACATCCATAAAGAAGTGCTCATGTTTGTCCCCTGCCACATGCATCACCTGGCACAATGTGGATTTTCAAGTACTTATTCACTTATCTACCCTTATCAGCCTTTGCAGTGTGAGACAATTTCTTATCCTTTCCTTGGCTTTTATTGGTGCCTGCCTAAATGTTGAGCATAAAGGAAACAAAATAGGGAAAAATTTTCAAATGAAGACACAGAAGCTGTCTGTGGGAAGGTATTTGTTTAAAGTTGCACCCAAACTGGTACAGAAAGATGCTACGGAGGTGCTGACTGCTTCTTTGAGGATTTGCTTAATGACCCATTTCATGTGAAACCCAAAGGCATGAAACTACAGAGGGAAACATAGGGCTGACTCTCTGTCCAGCTTTCTGAGTGTGATGTTGGGCTCAAGTATAGATCAGAAAACAACATGTAATGTAGACATTGTTTGTTCCTTTATCCAATGAGGCAGTGAGGAGAGTACCCTGAAAGAAAAAAACAAACCAAAACAAAACAAAAACTTCGTCTCGTTCATTGCAGGCACATAACTCAAGGTCAAAACCTTGATATGCTAATATCCAGGTGGAATCTCCCTCCTGTCTGATGAACATAAACTCTCTGTGAGACTTACCAGCTCATGACATCCCTTGGGACAATTGAATGAGAGTGTGGGTAGCCCAGCAGAGCTAACGGAAATTTAAAAACTCACCACCTCCTGATAGCCATCAGTTGACCCTGGACTCAGTAGAAGACATGATATAGAGGGTATCTTGGGTGTGCATAGGTGTAGCTCATTTTCCGTTCACCCCATCAGGCCCATCCCTCTCTTGGGCTCACCCACAGCACCTGGACCTTTGTTGTACAGAACTCCCTATTACTTGTAATACTCTCTTCACTTACATGATTGTAGTTAATATCTGTTAACTTCCCTACTGGACTCCAGGCTTAAGTACAAGGAGTGATCTCTTCAGCTCACTGTTGTACTGAATCATCCAGGCTGTACCTAACATGCAAACAATGCCTAGCAAATACTTTTTAAGTAGAAGAATGGATATTGACACGGAGGTCAGGGTCCTCCAGCCTGATTCAGCTGGAAGACAGAGAGAGGCTGAAGGTTTTCACTGTAATCAGACCTTATCACTTCATCACTGCTTGCTCCTAGAGTAGCATCTGGCAGAGAGGAGAGGGCCAACAATGATGACAGAATGAATAAATGAATGAACACTGTTCTTTTTCCTCCCAGAGAAGCCGGGTTACATTCTTAAGGCTAAATCCACAAAAAGGGAAATGAGGGAAAGCCACATGCACAAATAAATCCATCCAGGTCCAGAGGGTCTATGTAGGCTGTTCCCTTTAGATGCAGTAAGTGCTTCTCAGGATCACTAAGCTGGCATGCCAGCAACTGGGGATGCTTCAGGCACAGGTTGAACTAGTTCACTGGGCATAATGCTTCTTTGGACCTCAGTGCAACAAGTTCTGGGTTAAACAATTAACGTTTAAGTGGGTCCTGACACTGGTGCTTATCAAATACCCTATCAAACAGAACAAACAACAAAACATGCAGGAACGGTACTGTGCCTTATGACCTAGCCTGATCCCAAGGTCTGCCACCAGGTCAGAAGGACACTAGGAAGAAAAAGAGTTTTCTTTTTCATTGCCACACCCTCCTTCACGGGGGATATCTGTGTCTTAATAGAATCTCTTTCTATTTGATGTTTTACTTGCCAAGGGCTCATGGTAGTTGGTCTTTCTCAATCCTTGGGGTTACAAAAGGTCACAGATCTGTTCTTCAATCACCAGTCCAAAACCAAACACCCAAAACTGTATTGAAAAACTATCATGAAACCAAATGTCTGAATGTGCCTCAGTTCCAAACTGTCCCAGGCCAACAAATAGTAAGGGGCTTGCCTGTGAGTTAGAGTCTTTTCTTAAACCAGAAGAAAAGGGACAGGGATTTATGGGTTATCTCAGAGTTGTAGGGGCTGGCTCATTCCCAGGATGAGTTCATTACTTATTCTTAGAGACTGGACTCAAATTAAACAAACAGTGCTTATAAATAGAGTGGGGATACACTGGGCTCGGTGTCACCGAAAGGTCCTTTTCATAGAGATGGACTCACTAAATGACGTTCTCAGGTTACCCCATTGGTACTACGTGGGGAAAGGTCGTACTTTTTCTTTTTGAGTATCATTCAGGAGGGGGAAAAACAGGTCACTCAAACCCAGGGGTTTGTTTTGATTCTGTCATCTTCATCTCTTTTTTCCACACACTCACTGACACTCTGAGAATGGCCACAGAGGAAGGATGTCACTCTATCAATGTGCTGGCCCAGCAGCTCTGGCAGTATCCTCTGGGAATGGATCCTGCTTCAGACTGTATTGACAGAATGTTCTGGCCTTTTAGATTAGATTGCAAACTCCCTATGGGAAGGGCCCAAGTACTAGTATTTCTTCCTAGTTTTTCCTCTATTGCCACGCACAAGGATGGCTAGAGTTTCACTGGCAGTCCCTGCACTGCGAATTAAAAGGACCTTCCTCGTGCATGGTGATTTTACGATGAGGAATAACGTGGCCCCGTGTTCTGGCCCTGGTGTGACTTCTGTTTTAAGTATACTGAGGTAGAGTCAGTGCTCTACTGTGATAGATGAGTGGAGACTGGAAGCATCTGGAGTAACTATGAATAAACACAAAGCCATGGGGCAAGAAAGTCAAGCATTTATATAACAAGAGCTTCCATTGACTCTGCCCTTGGCCAGGTAATTTCAGGCACTATTCAAAAAAACTTTGTAAAAGTCCATTGAATTTTTCCCTAACACTGTGTGATAGGGACTATGATTGTTTCTGTTTTATAGACAAGGACCTGATTATATACTTCATGCTAAATTAGGGTTGGAAGCCTGCAGTTCAGCTCCAGAGATTCATCTATCACATTAAGTATTTGAACAATTCTTCTGTTGGGTTTTCTTCCTGCTAGCTCCTTCTCTCTTTAGGAGGGCACAAGATACCACAAAGCTAGCCCTTCTCACTTTTAGCTCAGGTGCATCTGGTGCCTTGTCCTGGGGAGAAGCTGCTGACTGCATCTCCCCATCCACAGCAATCTTTTTTTTTTTTTTTTTTAAAGGACTGGAGAGCGCCTGCAGGTCTCTAACCATCGGACTAATCGGCCCGGGCAGTTGGGAAGCCAGACTCGAAGGAACCGCTGGGCTAAAGCCAGCCCATCCACAGCAATTTTACAGGTATGGCTATGAGACATAGAACTGGAAATTGGAATGGACTTCAGGATCCTTGCTGAGAAAATCAGGGCACTCTAGATTTCCCTCTGGATTAGCTGGAAGCAGGTGGCCTCCCACAGGAGGCCTACCTGACTGTGAATTAAATCAGGACTGTGTGAAAGCAGAACTGGAAAATGGATGCAGGTGCCATGATGTGAAGCCAGGTCTAATGGTGGAATCTATGCCCCATGTTGTACTTTCAGGAGGCAACATGTTCCCTTTACTACTTTGGCTGGTTAAAGTTGATTACCTATCATGTACAGTGGGAAAATTCCTATCTGAGAAAGCCCCATATCAAATATAATTTGGTGCAATTAGTAACTCAGCCCCATCTACAAACAAAAGCCCATCTTCATACCTGTTTCTCTTTTTTTTTTTTTACTTTTTTTTTTTTTTTTGTCTTTTTCTTTTTTATTGGTACCGGGGATCAAACTCACGACTGCCTGCTTGCAAGGCAGGTGCTTATGCTGCTGAGCTAAATCCCCAGCCCCTTCATACCTGTTTCTAGCACTGCTAGGCTCTTCCATTCCTCTTGTATTCAAATTCCAACCACCACCCCAGGTTGCACAAGGTCAGAGTTAACTGCATGTTCCTTGGTTGCCATGATATAGAACCTGGGCACTACTTAGCATTTACTTTATTCTGCCTTGAAATACATGCAGTTATTTACAAGTCATTCATTAGCATCTATTGAATGCTTCATATTTGTCACCTCCTCTTTTAGGACCAGGAAATCAAAATGATAATGTCAAGATATATCTGAGGTCTTATGAGACACCAGGGACTCTGCATGCATTAGTTATGATATTGCATCTCCTTAAAAACTTGACTAGGTAGGCATGAATGACATCTCTGCTTTCCATGTCACAGGGTATTAAATTAGGAAATTGCAATGAGGCACTGAGAAGCAAAAGCTCTGAAGTGGCAAAGTGAATTACTAGATGAAGATGTATAAGTCCATAACCAGTGCTTTAGTATTTGTCTAGCCACACAAATCCTCTGTTTCATAAATCCTTAGTCCATAGAAATGATATAAAGAAATCAATAGGTATTAGAGGATTTTATGTCAAAGACTAGTCTGACTTTCAGCTCCCAATGCACATGCGCATACACACACACACACACACACACACACACACACACACAATCTGGGGATATTTTTACTTGCACCTCCAGCCCAGTGAGAATAGCGTCTTTGAGAGGAGAAGCTTGGAGAGTGTGAACAAAGTTGGAGAGATGGAGGTCAAAGGACTCTGTGTAATTTACACTTGAGCTCCCAATACAGAGAGAAAGCTGCTGTAGTTTGGATCTAGCATGTTCCCCAAATGCCCATGTGGTAAAGACTTACTGCTATTAGGAGGGAGTATGTCTTATAAGGAGTCTTAGGTCACTGGGGGTATACCCTTGAAGGGGATTGTGGGACCCAGTCTTTTCTTGTACGTCTTTTGTTCCTGGCCTTAAGGTGAACAAGCTTCATTTAACACAAGGAAGGCCCAAAAACAAAAGGGTCAACCAACTTTTGACTGAAACCTCAAAATTTCCAGGCAAAACAAACCCATTCTCTTTATAAGTTTCTTGTCTCAGGTATTTGTTACAGTTGAGGAAACCTGACTAACACAGAAGCTAATGTGGTGTTGCATGAAAGCCTGTTCTGAAAGTATGGGTGTTTCTTATCTAGCATCTTAAGCAACATGTCTTCTTAGATATGGTCCCACAGGGTGGCCTAGAAGGGCAAAAACACTCATGAGACACAGACAAAGGTAGACTACTAGAGTCCTAAGTAGGAAGTCACTCCTCCCTGTGGAGTAACTACGCTCATCTCCAGGTGTTGGAATCTAACAGGTGAGTGCTCTTCTCCCGTCTTTGTCTCACCTTCTCTCCATGCCAACCCTTTGTGGGTGGCTTGGGGAAACCGGTATCTGTTTCCTTCTTCCAAGATGTGAGAAGCCCACTGTAGCAGGCCATGGGGGAAGAGAACTATCTCCAAATAAGGCTTGAAGTATCGATTAATATATTGAATGAAACATTCTGATTTTACAAATCAGACTAAATTTGTGATTTAGGCAACATAGGACTTTCCCCCCCACTGAAAACTAAGAGAAAAAGAAATGTTCTGATGCCTGCCTGACTTTCTTTTCATCCAGTGCTAAGATAAGGATTTTATCTATTGAAACTTCAATGACATGATAAACGCAAAACTAAAGTTGCTTTGATGATTTCACCCCTTAAGTTCTTCTAGACAGATGTTAGACAGGTGAACGGAGCTACTTGGAGCACAGAGACAGTCAAAAAGTCAGAGTTGTATTCCTAATCATGTTTCTATCCTGTTTCTACCCTCCGGGAAATTATTGTCCTGATCCTAACAGGAAGAAGCTGTGTCTTGTTTTCCTTTCTCAGTGTCTTGTTGAATTCCCTTCTTTTCTTCAACTTGTCAGGAATGGACCAGGGTTAACAAAAGTAGGCACATTCTAGGCTGGGGATTTAGGTCAGCTGCAAAGTGCTTCCCTGGCAAGCACATGGTCAGGAGTTCGATCCAGGTACCAAAACAACAAAAAACAAAAACAAACCCAAACAAACAAACAAACAAAAAATGTAGGCATACTCAAAAGTGGAAGATCTGAGGATGACGTCAATCAAAAATATGATTCAAAGAGCAACAAACTGTTGAACACCAAATCTGGGGAATCTCCTATTTCCAACTACCCAAAAAATGATGATGACTGTAAAGAAATCCATATGCTAACAAAATCACTGACCACTCAACTAATTCTAGGGACAACGCTTTTCCTACATATTTTTCCTATATTTTCTTATATAATCCTGATGACCCCATAAATCGTTCCTCCTCCTATTGTCATTTACAAAGGAGATAACCAAGAATTGCAGCGCTGTACAAATGTTCAAAGCCAGACTATGGAACCACTTTCCTGCATTATAAATAGTTGCTGTAGTTCTCATGAATTAAAGTGTACAATAAATCATGCCATAGAAACTACAAATCCAATATCCCTAATTCGGTTATATAGAACTACTTGAAGTGCTGCTGTATTTGCTTCTGTTCAGCCATACCATCACCCGATTAGGAGAAAAGACATGATTCCAACTCCCAAAGTGAGTCTGATCCTGGAGCCTGTGTACCTAACCATTAAAGTGTACTCAGCACATGTTACCCATATCCATGTGGCTCCCCTTTTTTGGGGGCACCAAACTCACCAAGTATCACCTACTGCTATCACTATTCACTATACTACTCCTCTCCCAGTGTTTTGCTGACTTCTAACTACAACGTGTATTTGTTACAATTCAGTCCCACAGGGCTTTCTGTGTGAAAGAGGTTCTTAGTTTTTTTGAGAGCAAAAACATGGTGCATGTGTAGGGGTTGGATATCAGCATAACAATTTTTAGATAATGAAGGTGGCGACAACACTAGGGACCTTCTCTGCCTTTTAGGAGATAATTCCACAGATGCTCACCTAAGGCAGACAATAATATTCTGTGAATTTAGAGACCATAAAATAGATGTCTGTAGGCGTGAAACCTACTTCATGATGGGTTTGAGTGTCATGTGCTGAGGATTTCTTTTTATTTTACCAGAGGGAATCTCAAAACTAGATATAATAAATAATATGTTGATGAACCCTTAATGTTGATGAGATGAGAATGCAGGGTTGGGTTCAGTTTATTAGCCATATATTCTCATGAAGGTAAACTCTGAGCTTCAATGTGTTAATCTGTAAAAAAACACTAGTATCATCTTAGCATTTCTGAAAGCCATCAGGTATTTACTATTATTTTCACTTGTCTTTTCCTCTTGGTATATGACAAAATTGTTATTCTATATTTCAACCACTTCAAAGTTAACCATGACCATGTGGCATACCAGCTAGAGGGCTGTGTCTGAGAGTACCATAAACTGAGAAAATTTATAAACAAATGTATTTCTCACGGTTTTAGAGCCTGGGAAGTCGAGGAACTTGGTGTCACCCTCTGGTGAGTGCCTTTGTCCTACAGTACAGCATGGCAGAAGGGCAGGCAAGAAGTCATCTTTTCATCAGGAGCACATTCTCATAGTAACTACCCCATTTCCACAATAAAACTTTTTTTTTTTGTCTTTTTCCTTTTTATCGGTACCAGGGATCGAACTCACGACTGCCTGCTTGCAAGGCAGGTGCTTATGCCGCTGAGCTAAATCCCCAGCCCCTCCACAATAAAACTTAATCCACTCCTGATGGTGGTACTCTCATGATTTATTCATTTCCTCATGACCTCTTACAGGGGCCACCTTTGTTACTCACCGTGACTTTTGGAGGAAATTTGTTAACCTCATAAGCAGTCTGCCATTTCCTATTTCATGAATTCCCATCAGTCTGAGAGTCTTTGAAGGGCACTATCCCTCCTCCCCAGTTCTAACCATCATTAGACATGTAGCATGAGTGGGAAATAAAAGCCACTGAGTTGTTTTAAGTCACCAAGGTTAAGAGGTTGTTTGTTTCCACTGCATAACCTAGCCTACTATGATTAATACAGTGTTGGTGGGACATAGGCAATCTATGTACATCCAGCTAAGATACTCATGTGACTGGCTATAATAAAAAACACAGAAAATACAAAGTATTAGCAAGGATGTGCAGAAACTAGAATCCTCATATATTGTTGGTAGAAATGTAAAATGGTGCAGCCACTTTGGAAAACAATTTGAGAATTTCTTAACAGGTTAAATATAAGTTTATTATGTAGGCTGATGATTTAACTTCTAGGTGTCAATCCAAAAGAAATGAAAACATATGTTTACATAAATGCTTCTAAATGAACATTATTTAGAGTCAAAAAGCTGAAAGGATCCAAATGTCCATCAACTTATGAATGTACACAAAATGTGATATAGCCATGGAATACTGTTTAGCATTAGAGAGGAATGAAATACTGATACATACTACCACGTAGATAGACCTCAAGATCACTGTACTAACTTAAATATAAGAAATGCAAACTATTATATATGCATAATTCAATTTTTATGAAATTTCCATAAAAGACACATTTAAAGAATTAGAAGGCAGATCAATCAGAAGGCAGATCAATGAATGTCTGCAGCTGAAAATAGGATAGAAGACTGATTGCAAATAGGTTGGAGGGAATCTTGGGAAGAAATGGATTGTGGTAATGATTGCCCAACCTTTTACATTCTCTGAAAACCTTTGAATTGTATACTTATAATGGGCCCATTTCATGTTATGTACATTCTATACCCAATAAAACTATTAAGAAACTACACTTAAGTACAGTATCTGTTACATAACAAATGTTCAGTAAATGATTGTTAATAATGATAATTTTATGAATGAAAGGCTACAACTGAGATCCTGCAATGGATTAAAATGAAGATCTCAATTCAATGAAGAAGGTGGGTCGGCAGTTGGAATTCATAGATGCTCTTTTCTTTCACCCCTTGATTTTGTATTTCTTTTATGCTGGCCACTGCATGCAAAAGATCAGTGAATATTTCCATTGTCCTTCATTAATCTCCACTTAAGAGTCCAGGGATCAAGAGGAGATGTTCCATGTGGTTCTCTGTGGACGCTGCTGGATGCCATGTGACTAAGACTTTTCAAGGTATGAAAAAGACTTAATTTGGTCTGCTGAAAAGTGTCTTTTACTCCACATCTTACCATTATTCTTAACCTGCATGAACAATGACAATTATTTTTTGATCAGCTCTCATCACATGTTCCATTATGTTTTCTTAATGTTCTTTTATGAGGCCTTGCAGAAATCTCACTACAGCTGGGAGGAGAGGAGAGGTTGTTGCAGAGGTTAAGGTGAGTGGTGGATGTAGGCTCCTGTGCCACAGTGTAGGAAACACATCAAGCGTTAAAAGTTGTTATTTACAGCTGTAGCATTCTCAGGCTGGCTGACATAATTACAAAGTACCATTTAGGCTTGGGATCTCCTTAAAAAAGATAAAACTGCTTCAGAAAGGGGGATAATATTCCAAGCGCCACTGTTTCCATGCTGGAAAGATGGAGCTCAACACTTCACTGAATGTATTTTGTGGGATTTTTGGTTGGTTTTTTTGAGAAAGGATTTTACTATGTAGCTCAGGCTGGCCTCAAACTTGCAGCGATCCTCCTGCCTTAGTTTCCCAAGTGCTGGGATTACAGACAGGCACCAATAGGCTCTGCTCAGCCCTTTGCTAAACATTAGTCACCTTGGTTCTTTCTCTGGATAATATCCATCAGGAGGCAAAGCAACGAAAAGTTGACACATATATTTGTAGGATTATCTGAAAGACTAGCACTTTAGATATGCACCCAGGTCTCCAGCAAAGAAGCATGTTTTGATATTTTCTATTTATATTTTTCTCTTTCTTAGTTGTAGTGTTCTCTTCATGCATCCACCTCTGGCCACTCATTGGAAAAAAGACAAAGCTTAAATGGTCTTGTTATTAAATAAAAATGGAAACCAACAACAACAAACTAAAAAAAATTGGAGGCAAAAAAACTAGTTGACAGAAACAAGAATTGAAAGATAAAAGCAGACATAAGTGAATTAGAAAATAAAAAAATAGCCTTGGTAAAATAAATCAAAGAGCTTTTAAATGGCTGATAGAAAAGGCAAAGTTACATGTCAAAAAGAAAGAAAATACAAATAGATAATAGTAAAATTAACAAGGACTTAGATACAGATATGGAAGATTAAAATTAAAAGTACACTTACTTGAATTTATATAAGTAAAATATTGAGAAAAACAAGGCAAAAGAATCTACTCAAGAAGAGGTAAAAAAAAATCTGATGAACAAAAAGTCATGGACAAAACTGATAAAGAATTTTTACTACCTCCATGAGACACATAGGTTCAGATGATTTGGGGAGAGTCGGGAGAGGAAAATTACATCACACATTAATGGAAGAGACACTTTCTATAGAATTCATTTCATTTCATCATATAAGGAAAGTTTAAAACTTTCCAATTAATTTTATGAAAGGAACTCAACCAATATTGAAGAAAGAGCAGGAGAACATGAGAAATACAGGTCACACTTACTTGGCAATAATGTAGTGAGTTGACTAGGGTCCCCATGAAAAAATCCATGTCTATCTGGCCCCACACAACGGGACCTTATTGTAAATGTAATTATTAAGATGATATCATACTGGACTAAGATGGGTGTTAAAATCCAATGACTAGTGATTTTATAAGAGGAGGAGAAATGCATAGAGAGAAAGCCATGCAAAAATGGAGACAGGGATTAGAATGATGCGGCTACAAGCCAAGGAGCACCCAGAAGCCAGGGAGAGACAAGGAAGGATCTGCCTTCAAAGCTCCCACTCTGGTTTCATGCTGTTACCCTTAGAATGCAACATCAAACTCTGGTGTTTCAAGCTATCCACTTGTAGTTTGTTATTATGGCAACACTAGGAAGCTGATGTGGACAGAGATGCAATTTTTTCTTATTTATTTGATTTCAATCACTTTATAAGGAAAGAGAATGTATGATTTGCATTTACCATCTAGCAAATAGCTAATTGGTCAAAGAAAGGAGGCATTTTTACCAAATCAGGATAATTAAGAAAGCCCAATATTTTACCTCAATACATTCTTAGGCTCTGGAATGTCTAATCAATACTGTGAACCTGGGTTGAATCTGACTACCTTGATGTTTAAAAAATTGAATTAGTTTTCAATATTTAAAAGATCTTATAATTTACATTTTTAAAAAAACTTACATTTGACATATATTTTTATTAAAAAATCTGAACATCTGTCAACACCAAGCCTATTTCCCAAGAATCAGAAACTGGTGGAGCTGAATAGTGACTTCCCACTTTAGACATGCTTGGCTGTCCCTGTCTGTTCCAGGCTTTACCTTGACCAATTCACTCATGGGCATATGAATTCCTGAACTCATTCTCTTGGACAAGAGACAGAAAAATAGGCATGAAAAACAGACGATATCATTATCATTTTTAATAAAATGCTGAACTACATATAATATGCAAAATAATCAACTGAAAAACCATGCTAGTGATTGAGATCTATAGGATGGTTAGTTATAAAGTCTATAAAAATTCATATAGCCAGAGTGGGGAGGGAAGAAAGCTCAGTTGCCACGTGTAGTAATAACAAGTATGTTTGAATTAACTTGTCAAGAAATGTGCAGGGCTTATATAGATGAAATTATAAAAATGATAGGAAATATCATCATTATTTCCTTATATGATGAATAAAGTGAATTATATAGAAATAATAGGGAATAATAGGAAAGAAGACTTTGACAGCAAAACACTCCATTTTCCAAATATGGTGAGGATATCCATTATTACCAAAATAAGAAAAATCTAAATCTAATTTTTTGAAACTTGACAAAGAATCTTAAATATTCTACTAGAAGAATAAATACTTGATAATGACCAGTTAGCCAATAAATATTTTAAAGAGCATAATAAAACAGAGGCATCTATTTAACAAATCCTTAACATTTATTATACAAGGATAATTAAACTTACATGACTATTGGAAAGATTGACATCATGTAGGAATAAAACCAAAATTACAGAAATATAACCAAATGCAAATACAAGTACAGTGTAAGACAAAAATACCAATAAAAATTAGCAGATAAAGAAAGCATTTTCAACGAATAGTATTAGATCAGTAGCTTATCATTTTGAAAAAAGTTAAGAGTCATACCTTGTATAACATACAGATATAAGTCTTCAGTAGAGTGGGGATTGAAATATAAAAAAAGAAATAGGAATACCAGAAGAAAACTTGGGTAGATTTTATATATTTCAAATATAAATACCAAAATGTACTGAATATAGAATTCTAAAAATACTGAAAGATTTAACAACATACACATTTGAAAAAATTGGAAAGGCAAAAGCATAGGGAAAAAAAGGCAAAAGACAAATTTGGAAAAAGGTTTGCAAAATTTATGAAAATAATACTCTCAACAGACATAATTTTTGCAAATAAATAAGAAAAAGGACATTTGATAAATAAAAGGGTATAGGAAACCAACAGGCAATGTGCACACAACACACACACACACTATAAATAGCTAAGAAACATATGGAAAATTTAATCTTAAAAATTAATTGAAGTCGGGGCTGGGGATTTAGCTCAGCGGCGTAAGCACCTGCCTTGCAAGCAGGCAGTCGTGAGTTCGATCCCCGGTACCGATAAAAAGGAAAAAGACAAAAAAAAAAAAAAAAATTAATTGAAGTCTAGACTAAAATAGTGAAATGACATTTGAACTTAGAACTTAGAACTGAGGAAAGACACAGTTAATACTACTCTTTGTGAGAGTCTGAAAAAAATGAGCTCTCTTATAGTCTAGTAAAGAGAATATAAAAACTTTTTTGAGATAAGGTTTCTGCACAATCTAGCCTACATTGAACGTAAGGCAAACCTCCCGTCCCAGCCTTCATGGGATTATAGGCATGAGCTACCATGTCTAGCTAGAAATATAAACTGATAAAACTTCCTAGGACAGCAATTTGGCATATAGATAAAAAAGTTAAAACATGATCTTACTCTTAATCAGGAATTTCCACCTATTACAACATCTTGAGAAAATCATGGTTCTACACAAAAGTTCAGTATAAAACATACTCATTTCATCTGTACTTCTCATTAGGGAACTGAGAAAAATGTAACAGATGAAAATATAAGATTGGTTTAATAAAGTCATGGAGGATAAAAATATATAAGGCACTAACCAGCATCTATTATGATTGGTTGAGGGCTGCAATTCACATTTGACATATATTTTAGCTATCAAGCAATGAAATATTCTGTACCACTCAAATATTAATGTAGAAGGGCATTTATGATATTGTCAAGCTGTATGTTAGGCAAAAATTTACAAACTAGAATATGCTGCATATAAGAAGATTCCATTTTAAATAAAATATGCTTATATGAATAATGACAAAAAATAGTTTAAGATACATATTGAAGTATAAGAAATGATATTTTTGGTTAATAAAATAATACATATGCAATGGATATTTTAGCCAGATGGATAATTTAAGATATTAATTCAAGGACCCACCCACATTCAGGAACTGTAGATGAGGCTCCTGAAGACTGAGAAATTGCACCCAGCAATCCACCCACACCCAAGAACCATCTCTGAGGTCTGTAGTGATCAGGAGTTTGCACCCAGCAACCTGTGATCATTCAGGAACCCACAGTGAGGCCCATGGGAACCCAACAACAATGAGGAACCATAGGTGAGGCTCCTAGGGACTGAGAAGTGGCACCCAGTGGTCTGCCCACACCCAGGAACCATCTCTGAGGCCTACATGGACCAGGAGTTTGCAACAAGTGACCTATTGTCATCCAGGAACATATAGTGAGGCCCTCAGGGAATGGGAAGCTGTGCCCAGTGACTACCTATACCCAGGAACCATATGTGAGGCTCCTTGGAATTGGGAAGTTGCACCCAGTGACTCTCCTAACCTAGGAAACACCTCTGAGGCCTGTGGGGACCAAGAGTTGGTACCCAGTGACCATAATCCTCCAGGAACCCACAGTGAGGCCCACTGTGACTGGGAGTCTGCCTTCAGCAAGCCATCCACATGTGGGAACCATCTGTGAAACC